AAAAAAAAAAAAGAACTACCTCTGGGAAGAAATGGTGACAAATGAAAAATTGAGTACCATAAAAAATTAAAATTAAAAAAAAAAAGAGTAAAATATGTGTATTTTGACTGTTGATTTTCGGTAGAACAACTGAAAACTGAAAAGTAATGGATGCGACTCTTAAAGATGCTTTAACTGCTGAGAGGCATATCCCATCATCCTGTCGACGTGTCCATCTGTACGACACGCAGACCAACTGAAATGTCATATCAGCCCCCCCAACAACTGCAAAATCGAGACTTAACTCCCACCCAGATCCCTAACCTTCCGAAAATGCCCCGACACAGCGACCCGACTCCCACATCTTCGCCGGGAATCCTCTGTACCGTGAAACAACCACTCAGAAGACCAAAAACAACAAACATGCCGTATTCCCCCCTTTAAAAACTTCAATTTAATTTGAGTTTCAAACTCCCTGTTTGGATTCTAAGAAAATGAGGGAAAAATAAAAAAGAAAAATCCAAATTAATTTTTTTTTTCTTTTTTTTTTTTTTTTTTTTTTTTCCATATGATTGGTGGGAGTTAATTTTATACTAATTGAATCTAAGTATTAAGGTTTGAAATCAACTATTAGAGCCCATTCAATCCAAAGTCGGTTAAATATTTATAAATTATTTGAATGAATTATTTAAATATAATTGATAATTAATGATTAATAAATATTTTTTTTATAATTCACCATATTTAATTTATAAAACACTAAAACAAATACATCCTTCAGCTCACAGCGTACCACTCCGCTGCTTTTACCCTGTTTGTTGCAAGCATCAATTTTTTTTTTTTCCTAAAATTTCCCAGCAATTCGTACAGTGGTGAAGAAATCAGTCGAATTCCATAAAATTTCTTGTCTCAATACCGAAAAAAAAAAAGAAGAGAAAATCTAAATTTAGAAAGAACAAATTTAGGGCGAAAAGGGAACCATGTCGATTTCCTGTTGCTGCTGTTCAAGTCCTTTTTTTACACTGAAGGACTACAAAAAAAAGCAACAAATTAACCCTAACATTTTCATTATCATTTCCTCTATTTACACCCAAAGAAAAAAAGAAAAAAAAAGAAGAAGAAGTAAATAAAGGAGTGAAATTCCAAAGCGGTCCTCTTTTTGTGCTTGCTGTGTTGTTTCTGTAAATCGTCGCCCGTAATAGTTACAAAAGGCACTCGTCGGCGAACGATCCAAGTAGATCCTGGAGGTCACGTGACTCGACGCCGAGTCGCAGAGCCTCCATGACACGTTCGAAGACGAGCACGTGACAGGGGATGTGGAGAACGCCCTTCTGCTCGTAACCGTACTCCTGCGCCGATTTGTTGAGAAGTCCGATGAAGACAGGGTGGTTGAGCAGCTCCGCGCTCACCACGAACCGCTCCATCTCGTCCCCGACATATACAGGCACGTGTCCCTGTGGCACTGATCTGCGCGCAACGGAACCTCTGATAGAGTACCCCTTACGCTGGCGACGGCGCCCGGGATCGGATCGGAGGAGAGTGTACTGAGCGGAGGAATCCGCGACACGAGAGAGGCGTCGGATTAGTTGCTTCATCTGATTCTTGAGGAAAATAGACCGAATCTAGGAGGTGAAACGGAAGCGGTTACACCGGAGGTAAGGGGGAAAGGAAGGGAGAGAATTAGAGAACTGAGAGAAATGATTTGTGAGAGAGAAGGTGAAGGAAAGGGAATATTTAAAGGAGAAGGGAGTAAAGAAAGGCGACGAGGGATAGGTACAGGTAGGACTAGGAGTACTTGGAGGTACAATTAAAAAGGGTTAAAATATTGAATTATTGGATTTATTTAACTTATAGATTGAGAGATT